TTGCTGCCTGGGAATCTCCTGGCCTGACTTTTTGTTTAAGTCCCATTTAATCAGATGAATGTGCTAATCTGCCTTCCGAAATCTCCAATTGCCAGTTTAAAAGATCAACCAAACCAGTGTATTTTTTATGGAGTGCTGCTGCTCTGCAGCCCCGGCTTAAACAGCCATGCTGGCAGCCTGTGGAGCCCCTACACCTGGAAATCTCCTGGTCTGTGGGCCATAAAGATCCATCTGGAAATGAGGCATCCACTCACCATCTGCGGTTTCACTGGGAGCTGCAATCCTGAGTTGGTCCTACAGCGCCATCTTCTCCGACTGTGTGTTTTCAAACAGAGATAATATTTTTAGTGCCAACCATTTGGGGAAAGTTTGTGGAATGGTTTTGGGAATTTGAGTAATAATCAAGTCAGGAGTTCCACGGATCTGAAAAGTCTATGGTCTTCAAGATGTGATGTATGGTGTGGGGCAGAGCCAATTTTAGGCAGAGGAAAGACATCTGTCTGGTTTAGTGAGGCCTTTCATTTGTTTTTCTTTTTTCTTTTTTTTTTGAGACAGAGTCTCACTCTTTCACCCAGGTTGGAATGAAGTGTCATGATATTGGCTCACTGCAACCTCTGTCCTCCAGGTTCAAGTGATTCTCCTGCCTCAGCCTTTCAAGTACCTGGGATTACAGGCACCCACCACCACACCCATCTAATTTTTGTATTTTTAGTAGAGACAGGGTTTTACCATGTTGGACAGGCTGGTCTCAAACTCCTGACCTCAAGTGATCCACCCACCTCAGCCTCCCAAAGTGCTGAGATTACAGGCAGGCATAGCCTGTAATCCCAAGCCCAGCAGAAATCTTTAATTTTATGCAGGTATGTGGCATTAGGAATGTCACAACAGGAGTCATGGGTGCATGTCTCGTCAGTAGATTAGAGTCAAGTTGAGTCACGGCTGGTCATTGGAGCATGAGATCCATGCAGAAGATTCAGATATGCTGACAGAGAACACTGAGAAGATGGGATAGCAATGTGTTGAGCTTCAGGACCTGAATTCTTGTTCACAAAATGGGCACAGAGGAGCAAGATTCAGAAAGAATAAAGCAGGACCTCTCTCAGGAAGGAATTGTGGCTCTGCTCAGAATTCTGTCAAGGCAGAAATTCAGCTGCAATGGAACATAATCAGAAACCAATTACCTGCCCTCACACCCAGGATCAGATGCTGGTTATCAGGCTTGATGCTGAGCCCACTCCATTCCTGGACTTAGGTGCCTAATGTCTACCTTGTCCAGGGCCAAGATTCATTCCAGAGCAGAATGCAGGGAGTGACCTGCAGATGGCTGACAGTGACTCCAGATAGCACGTGAAAAAGGGGTATAAGAAAGGTGAGTGAGAAAAGTTCACACTCAAGGACACCTGAGTACTGATGATTTTTAAATAAATGTTGAAAGCATTTAAATAAATGTTTTGCCTTGATGGAGAGAATCTATTAACGTATTGTTTGCATCTCCCTAGGCACTTTCCTAAGATGCCATAGCGTAGGTTCCTGAAGCATTTTTTCCTCCCTAAAATTCTTGGAATATTGGACTTGAGTGATTTCTCCCACTAGGAAGAGTGAAAGAAGACATGATTGACATGAGAGGCCTAGTATGTTAGTTCTGCAAGGGCACAGACCTGTCTGGCTATTCAATGCTATGCAGAGTTCCCCACCGTATCCTTGTAGCAGGTGTCTAATGAAAATACTGAATGCATAGAGTGTTTACTATATGCTAGGCACTGTATGGCGATTTAACACATGTAAGACTTCACAATATATGGATGAGGAGACTGAGTTACAGAGTTATTATATAGATTTCCAATAACTTGCTTAAAATTTACAATTAGTGAGTAGCTATAATGCCAACTCAAGCAGTTTGGCTTCGGAGTCCTGCTGTTAGTCATTACAGTACATTAACTCTCTGCTTATTAAATATTTGCTGACAGAATAAAAGCAGAAATGACAATGGTGTCAGCATCTTGAACGATGGGAATATGTGGATGCATGACCAGAATCATTCTTAGGATCTGGAGAAATAGTGGGGAGTCCAGGATTTTAATTCTAATCCTGGTTTAGAGACTTCTAGGTGTTCTTCCTAGAAACTCTGTGCTTCATTTACTTTTCTCATGGAAAAATGGGAGAAGTGCAATATCATTTCAGTCAGAATATTGTGGGCATCAGATAAATGAATATGTCTGAAAAGTGCTTTATGAATGAGTTGGTGCTAGATAAATACTAGTCATACAAATAACAGAATATAAACAAAACAAAATAACTAATAATAGTATTCAGAATTAACAAATTGCACTTGATTTATCTGGGTAAGATAAAGGAAAGTGAGGAAGAGTATGTGTATGTGTGTGACATAGTTGATATTGCCACTCAAACATAAGCAGGGCCTAAGCCAGAGAAGTGAAGAACAGGAGATATTGGAATTTCCTGGGCAGAGAGGGACAGGAATAGAGACCAGTGGCTTTCCTGCTTTGTAGAATCTTTCTGGCAGCAGTGACTAATACATTAAGGGCCTGTTGTGAACAGCCTGCCCATAATCTGGTCAGTGGAAATGGTTTCAAAGAACTCAGCAAAGCCAAATGGCTTCTGTTGACCCAGTATTTTTCACTTACTCAAAAATTCTTACATGTGGGCCAAGAAACTGGCTTGTTATCAGCTCCCTATTTTCTACGATTATTTCTATGCATCCTCCTTGGTTCCAAAGCAATTTTTGAGTTGTGACAAAAGGAGAAATGGAGAAGTAGACAGCAAGAGGCCAGGGGGGCATGAGAGTCATACGTGTGTATGGGTGAGCATGTGTGTGGTCAGGTAGTCCTGAGAGCCTTGCCCAAAAAGTTTTAAATTGAGAAGCATGATGATGACAGCAGAGAGGCAACTGAGCAGTATTATAAGATCCCTGAAAATGTGGCACATATACACCATGAAATACCATGCAGCCATAAAAAATGATGAGTTCATGTCCTTTGTAGGGACATGTATGAACCTGGAAACCATCATTCTCAGCAAACTGACACAAGAACAGAGAATCAAACACCACATGTTCTCACTCATAGGCTGGTGTTGAACAATGAGAACCATGGACACAGGGAGGGGAAAATCACATGATGAGTTCTGTTGTGGGGAATAGGGGATTCACAGTGGGGGGTAGGGAGTTGGGGAGGGATAACATGGGGAGAAATGCCAGATATAGGTGATGGGGATAGAAGCAGCAAACCACATTGCCATGTATGTACCTATGCAACAATCTTGCATGTTCTTCACATGTATCCCAGAACCTAAAGTGCAATAAAAACACACACACACACACACACACACATTAACGTGTGTGTGTGTGTGTGTGTGTGTGTGTATAAATCCCTGAACCTCAGGGCTCAAGTGGGGTAAGGCTATATTGAATTCAACTGCATGTTGTAATTGCAAACTCCACGAAGTTCAGCCTTGTGGTTAGGATTGAGGGCTCTGGGGTTAGACAGTCCTGGGTTCAAGTCCAAGCCTTACCAATATTTGGTACAGTGATTGGGCAAGCTGCTTAACTTTTAAGCCTTAGTTTTCTTATTCATGAAACAAGAATTAAAGGGATCTCTTGGGGAACATAATGCACCTGGGCCTGTTGGGGGGGTGAAGGGACTAGGGGAGGGATAGCAGGGGGTGGGGGAATTGGAAAGGGATAACATTAGGAGAAATATCGAATGTAGATGATGGGGGAATAGATGCAGCAAACCACCATGGCATGTGTATACCTATGTAACAAACCTACATGATCTGCACATGTACCCCAGAACTTAAAGTATAATAATAAAAATAATTTTTAAAAAGATGTCTCTTGGCAGTTATGAGGATTATCATGATATGCATATATATCTACAAATAATTTAGGTAGCAAAGAATGAGCCCCTGATAAATGTTAGCTGTAATGACTTCTGTTCTTTAACAACATAATTTAATAGATTTGTGTTTGTAAGTGTTAGGAAACTGGCACATAATAGATGTTCAATACATACCTGAGTGTATAGACCTAAATAATCTCAGAGCTGGGAGAGAACTCAGAGATGCATTTACATTATTGTGCAATCACCATCTCTATCTGTCTCCAGAACTTTTTCATATTTCTTATTTAAACTCTCTATCCATCAAACAATAACTCTCTCTTGCCCCCTCTTCTCAGTCCTGGGTAACCACTGCTCTACTTTCTGTCTCTATGAATTTCACTATTCTAGGTACCTCATAAGTGGAATCATGCAATATTTGTCCTTTTGTGTCTGGCTTGTTTCACTTTGCATTATCTCTTCAAGGTTCATTCATGTTGTAGTATGTTCAATTCTTCAATTTTTTAATTATTATGCTTTAAGTTCTGGGGTACATGTGCAGAACTTGCAGGATTGCTGCATAGGTACACACCTGCCATGGGGGTTTGCTGCCTTCATCCCCCCATCACTCACATCAGATATTTCTCCCAGTGTTATCCCTTAGTTCTTCCATTTTTAAGGCAAAAGTGCAGTTCTTCTATCTGGATGTTAACTCAGTCTAATCTTGTATTCAATACTCTATTAGAAAATGGCAGTGCCATGATTTATATTACTGACTTCTGACATGGCAGGCATTCAGCACTGTCAACTGAAACAGGCTTTGTCTCTCGGCTATTGTGTGCATCTCTACAGACTCTGCAATATGACTAATTAGCCTGAAAGATGCTTTAGTGGCTTTCTTATTTCTTGTTTGAAGAGCTGATAGACACAAATTTTGTCTTCTTAATTGTAGTAAAATATACGTAACACAAATTTAAAGTGCTCATAATGTCCATGTTTAAAATATTATTTCCTTTTTCTTTAAATTCTGAGCAATTGAACTCAAAATGACATCACAATTTAACTGGCACCAATATACTACTTGAAAATTCTCCATTGCATAAAGCACAATAGGGTAATTTATTAACATTTATATCTGCTCAGCCTTCAGTGACTTCTTACCTGCATTTTTCACATTCATGTGGTCAATCCGTTGCATGCTGTATGTATTTTGGATGAAATCTAGATAAAGATGTGAGGGTTCACTTTCCAGAGAGAGAGATTTTGTATTATGGATGCATTTATCATAGGATTTTCTTCTGAATAATTTGTAAAAGTCCTTGACTATTTGCAAAATCGACTATATGGGTAATATTTCAAACTTATTAATATTGTGTATCTTGATGCATATTCAGCAGGCTCTCTTAGCACTGTGTGGGACTGTGTATGCTGTCACCTCATTAGGATGATGCAATTTTCAGAAAGCTGAGATTACCTCTTCTGTATCCTTACCCTCTATTATTCCTAGAAGAGTTTATTTTAGTATATATTAAGTTCTAACCATGTTCTAAGCTCTGTCCTAGCCACAGTGGAAGAGAAAAGCAAATGAGAAGTGTACTTTTGGCTATATATTCTACAAAGAACTTAAAAAAATTTACAAAAAAAAAAAAAATAGGAAGAGAAGATGGCTCTGTAGGACCAGCTCAGGATTGCAGCTCCCAGTGAAAGCGCAGAGGGTGAGTGGATGCCACATTTCCAGATGAATCTTTATTGCCTGCAGACCAGGAAAATCCCAGGTGGAGGAGCCCCACGGGTTGCCAGTGTGGCTGTTTCAGCCAGTGTGGCTGTTTTGGCCAGCGCCACAGTGCAGCGGCTCTCCGTACAAAATACACTGGTCTGGTTGCCCTGTTAAACTGGCAATTAGAGATCCAGGAAGGCAGATTAACACATTCATCTGATTAAATGGGACTGAAACATAAAGCCAGGCCAGGAGATTCCTGGGCAGCGATGTTGTTTCAGCTGGTGCAGTGGGTTGCCACACAGGAAATCACACAGATCCCGGCGTCCTTTCAGCAGGTGACTGGAACACCTGGGAGAGAGTCAACCATTCAACTTATAAAGAAAAGTGCTCTGAGGCAGGGAGCCAGGTTATCAGGCTTGGCAGGTCCTACCCACACAAAAACAAACGAACAAACAAACAAACAAACAAAAAACTGCAATTGGAAATGCTCAGGGTTGAGAGTTTCATGGCAAACACAGCTGAACCCAGGAGGGTGCAGCTCAGTGGAAGAGGGGCGTCCGCCATAACCAAGGCACTCCACCCCTACGGAGGTAGTCTGCCATTGCTGACCCAGCCTGCCATTGCCGAGGCAACCCGCCATAACCAGGAGAGTCTGCCATTACAGAGGTGGGTCACCATTACCATGGCAGTTCTAACCACACCCATATAAACAGGATTGCAGGGAAATACACACAGCAGGAGGGTGGAGCCCATGGCAGCAGGGCAGAGACCAGAGCAGCTCAGCAAAGCCTCTGCAGAGAGGCACTGACAAGGTTGCGTCCTTGCTGGGCAGAACAGTGCAACAGACACTCATAAATAAAATCCTAATGCTATGAGACAGAGTCCCTGGGGGAAAAAAGGGGTTTTATGAGTTCTGCTGCAGCAGACTTAAACATACCTGCCTTGCAGCTCTGAATGAACAACGGAGCTCATAGCTCATCACTTGAGCTCCTATAAAGTACAGACTGTATCCTCAAGCAGCTCCCTGACCCCATACATCCAAAGAGTCACCTCACAAAGGACTGATGAGACTGACATTTGGCAGGCATCATTCTAGGACAAAGATAGCAGCAGAAGAAACTGGTAGCAACCCTTACTGTCCTGCAGCTGCTGCAGGTGTTCCCCAGGCAAGCAGGGCCTGGAGTGGACCACAGCAGTCCTAAAGCAGAGAGGCCAGATGGCTGGAAGGAAACCTAAGAAACAGAAATAACTTCATCATCAACAATCTGGACATCCACTCAGAGACCCAATCTGAAAATCAGCAACTACACAGATGACAGGTGGATAAACCCACAAAGATGGGAAGAAACCAGCACAAAAAGTAGGAAAACACCCGAAACCAGAACACCTTGCCTCCTACAAGGGATCACAAGTCCTCACCAGCAAGGGAACAAAGCTGGACGGAAAATGAGTGTAACGAAATGACAGAATCAGACTTCAGAAGGTGGGTAATGAGAAACTTCTGTGAGATAAAAGAACATATTCTAACTCAATGCAAAGAAACTAAGAGCCTTGAAAAAATATTTGAGGAAATGATAACAAGAATGGACAACATAGAGAGGAATATGAGTGAATTGATGGAGCTGAAAAACACAACAAGAGAACTTCGCAAAGCATGCAGAAGTCTCAACAGCCGAACTGACCAAGTAGAAGAAAGGATATCAGAAGTCAAAGATCAACTCAATGAAACAAAACTAGAAGCCAAGATTAGAGAAGAAAGTTCAAAAAGGTATGAACAAAGTCTCCAAGGATTGTGAGACTATGTGAAGAGACCTAATCTATGTTTGATAGGTGTACCTGAATGTGATGAAGAGAATGAATCCAAGCTGGAAAATACTCTTCAGAATATTATCCAGGAAAATTTCCCCAACCTAGCAAGGCAGGCCAATATTCAAGTCCAGGAAATACAGAGAATACCATAAAGATATTCCTCAAGAAGAGCAACCCCAAGACACCTAATAGTCAGATTCACCAGGGTTGAAATGAAAAAGAAAATGCTAAGGGCTGCCAGAGAGAAAGGTCGGGTCACCCACAAAGGGAAGCCCATGAGACTCATAGTAGAACTCTCTGCAGAAACCCTACAAGTCAGAAGAGAGTGGAGGCCAATATTCAACATCCTTAAAGAAAAGAACTTGCAACCAAGAATTTCAAATCCAGCCAAACTAAGCTTCATAAGTGAAGGAAAACGAAAATTCTTTGCGAACAAGCAAGTACTCAGAGATTTTTGTCACCACCAGGCCTGCTTTACAAGAGCATCTGACAGAGGCACTACACATAGAAAGGAACAACCAGTACCAGCCACTCCAAAAACATACCAAATGGTAAAGAGCACCAACAAAGAGAAGAATCTGCATCAACTAACAGGCAAAACAGCCAGCTAGCATCAAAATTGCAGTATGAAATTCACACATGACAATATTAACCCTAAATGTAAATGGGCTAAATGCACCAATCAAAAGGCACAGACTGGCAAATTAGATAAAAAGCCAAAACCCATCAGTGTGCTGTATCCAGAAAGCCCATCTCACATGCAAGGATACACAAAGGCTCAAAATAAAGGGATGGAGGAAGATTTACCTAGCAAATGGAGAGCAAAAAAAAAAAAAAAAAAAAAGCAGCAGCTGCAATTCTCATCTCTAATAAAATAGACTTTAAAGCAACAAAGGTCAAAAGAGACAAAGAAGGTCATTACATAATGGTCAAAGGATCAATACAACAAGAAGAGCTAATGATCCTAAATATATATGGACCCAATACAGGAGCACCCAGATATATAAGGCAAGTTCTTAATGACTTACAAAGAGACATAGACTCCCACACAATAATAGTGGGAGACCTTAACACTCCACTGTCAATATTAGACAGATCAACCAGACAGAAAATTAACAAGGATATCCAGGACTTGAACTCAGACCTGGAACAAGCAAACCTGATAGACATTTACAGAACTCTCCACCCCAAATATACAGAATATACATTATTTTTAAGCACACCACACCTACTCTAAAATTTACCACATAATTGGAAGTAAAGCACTCCACAGCAAATGCAAAACAACAGAAATCATAACAAACAGTCTCAGACCATAGTGCAATCAAGTTAGAACTCAGAATTCAGAAACTAACTCAGAACCTCACAGCTTCATGGAAACTGAACAACTGGCTCTTGAATGTTGACTGGATAAACAATGAAATGAAGGCAGAAATAAGGAAGTTCTGTGAAACCAACAAGAATGAAGACACCACTTACCAGAATCCCTGGGACACATTTTTTTTTTAAATTTTTTATTGGATTTTAGGTTTTGGGGTACATGAGCAGAGCATGCAAGACAGTTCCGTGGGTACACACATGGCAGTCTGCTCTGCTTTACTTCTCCCCTTCACCCATATTTGGCATTTCTCCCCAGGCTATCCCTCCCCACCTCCCCCTCCCACTGGCCCTCCCCTTTTCCCCCCAATAGACCCCAGTGTTTAGTACTCCCCTTTCTGTGTCCATGTGTTCTCATTTTTCATCACCCGCCTATGAGTGAGAATATGCAGTGCTTCATTTTCTGTTCCTGTGTCAGTTTGCTGAGGATGATGTTCTCCAGATTCATCCATGTCCCTACAAACGACACAAACTCATCATTTCTGATTGCTGCATAATATTCCATGGTGTATATGTGCCACATTTTTCCAATCCAGTCTATTATCAATGGGCATTTGGGTTGATTCCAGGTCTTTGCTATTGTAAACAGTGCTGCAATGAACATTCGTGTACATGTGTCCTTATAGTAGAACGATTTATAGTCTTTTGGATATATACCCAGTAATGGGATTGCTGGGTCAAATGGAATTTCTATTTCTAAGGCCTTGAGGAATCGCCACACTGTCTTCCACAATGGTTAAACTAATTTACACTCCCACCAACAGTGTAAAAGTGTTCCTTTTTCTCCACATTTTCTCCAGCATCTGTTGTCTCCAGATTTTTTAATGATCGCCATTCTAACTGGCGTAAGATGGTATCTCAATGTGGTTTTGATTTGCATCTCTCTGATGACCAGTGATGATGAGCATTTTTTCATATGATTGTTGGCCTCATAATGTCTTCCTTCGTAAAGTATCTGTTCATATCCTTTGCCCACTTTTGAGTGGGCTTGTTTGTTTTTTTCCTGTAAATCTGTTTGAGTTCTTTGTAAATTCTGGATATCAGCCCTTTGTCAGATGGGTAGACTGCGAAAATTTTTTCCCATTCTGTTGGTTGCCGATCCACTCTAGTGACTGTTTCTTTTGCCGTGCAGAAGCTGTGGAGTTTCATTAGGTCCCATTTGTCTATTTTGGCTTTTGTTGCCAATGCTTTTGGTGTTTTGTTCATGAAGTCCTTGCCTACTCCTATGTCCTGGATAGTTTTGCCTAGATTTCCTTCTAGGGTTTTTATGGTGCCAGGTCTTATGTTTAAGT